ATCCTGAGTTCCACCCCTATTTCTTTTCTTCATGCAAGGTTGAACTAACTGCCTAGGGATTCAGGAACCATCTCAGTAGTTCCTACATCCAATTTCTAAGTGTTAACAGATTCAACTACACTTCTTTGAAAAGATGCTTGTGATAGTTAATACTTCAACTAGTATTGGAACTGCCAGTAGTATGAATGCAATTTTACATTGTGGGTTTAGAATTAAGTCACTGTGTTTTTTGGCCTTGATTCACTTAGGGCTAAGAATGTGACCCTATATTGTGTTCTATAGCTCTCTTAATTTCATATTGCAGACTTCTTAAACATTATTTTAGAAGTCAAAGAACTCTCATTAGTTTTCAAGATTTAATAAAGGTTCAATTTGTGAATAACACATTGATTAAAAAAGCAAGCCAACTTTATTAAATAATATCAAAAGAAAAATGCTATCTTGTGTTTTTTAGGAATCTAAATGAAATATTATTGAGATTATTCTATCTTTATAATTTTCAATTTCCAAGGTCAAATATTTTTTTTTTAATTTTTTTTTCAACGTTTATTTATTTTTGGGACAGAGAGAGACAGAGCATGAACAGGGGAGGGGCAGAGAGAGAGAGGGAGACACAGAATCGGAAACAGGCTCCAGGCTCCGAGCCATCAGCCCAGAGCCTGACGCGGGGCTCGAACTCACGGACCGCGAGATCGTGACCTGGCTGAAGTCAGGACGCTTAACCGACTGCGCCACCCAGGCGCCCCAAAGGTCAAATATTTTTAGTGTTACCCTGAGCCTGCAGGTCACTTTTCTTTAACACTTCAATACTGGAAATAATTCTTCAGTGCTGGCCTTCTTGAAATCCTTCATGCCATAATGATTTATTTCTTTTTAAACAGTATCCTTGCACATTTTTTCCAACATTTAGTCTAGATGTACTACTTGATCAAAAATGTTGAAGTGACTCATAAATTACATGTTTTGGCAATTTGGCTACAAACCTTCAGTCACTATGCATTTGCTCGTAGGTTACTTCCCATATCAAATAAAGCTCAACCAGTAGTGGTGTCTGGGTATTTTGCAGTTCTCAAGTGGTCTCATCCTCCACATAATGTATGTGATTTACCCTTATACCCAATATTTATGCTCCCCCCCCCAATAAATCTGTTATGGTTAAGGATATTAAGACAAACCCTTCTGAATTGAAAACAGATTTTGCTTTCCCATTGTTAAATTCAATGGTCTCAAAGCCATTGTGAATAGTTTTGTCCTGAGTTAGAAATCAGAAATTCAGTGATTTTTCTCTATAAAGTCTCAGATCAACTGGTAGTTGTGATTAAGCACTGAGGGAGGTTAATATATATTGTTGGAACTAACTTAAGATACTGTTTTCCTATTCCTATCTAAATGCTTGTTGAGTTAAAAGTTCAACTAAAAAATATAGTTGCACCAATTCATTTGGTTAAGCAAATCCTTTCTAGTTATAGGTATAATAAAAGTTTATCTGTGTGAATTCGGTGCTGGGAAGATAACAGAAAGTCCATGCCACGCAAAGCAAGGCACATAGTACATATAAGCTTTTTTGTATTTCTCAATAAATGGTATAAATTGGCTGAATAATTGACTCTGATGGACATTGCTCACAGGTAGATTTTGGACCAAATGTTTGGGTATCTGAAGGCTCATAGTGGAGGACAAAGTTGAAAGTAATTGTCAACAATCTGTCACTCTCATTCAGAATCCAATTTCTCCCATATCTGGGGGGAATTAATGACTTCATACCTAAAGAGAGTAATTTAGGCTCTTGAAAGTTCACTCAGAGAAACAGCAATAGAACAGCTTTAAGATGCAAAAAAACAGGGACTCCTGGGTGGCGCAGTCGGTTAAGCGTCCGACTTCAGCCAGGTCACGATCTCGCGGTCCGTGAGTTCGAGCCCCGCGTCTGGCTCTGGGCTGATGGCTCAGAGCCTGGAGCCTGTTTCCGATTCTGTGTCTCCCTCTCTCTCTGCCCCTCCCCCGTTCATGCTGTGTCTCTCTCTGTCCCAAAAATAAATAAATAAAATAAAGATGCAAAAAAACATAAAAACTTCTCCAAAAGAATCTTGACCAGCCATTAATTAAAATGCAGGTAAAATGAACAGAAACATTTCTGTATTCCCATCTCACTCAGAACGTGCCAATTTCAATCATTTAACCTCTAAAGAAACTGTTCTCACCCATCTGACAGTAAGACAAAATTAGGAGGCTGAGAGTTCATTTTGATTTTTATTACATACCACAGACATATTCACTAACCAGAGTAGGAGGATTCTGTTCTCTTAAAATCACAGGAAATATTATTTCCACCTCCCCCCTTTTTCCTGATATTGGAGCTGCATTTCAGATTATTTTGGGATTACTTTAGGGTAAAGTAAAAGAAATCATGGAAGGCAGTGTATAAATGACATTATTATGAAGCTAGTAGTAACTTGCTGATTGAGACTAACAAGGCTGTATAAACAATGCTGATATTACTCAGTTGCTTATATTTTGAACACCTGCCCTTTACCGGATGTGTGTGAAAAGTGGTCCCTAAGAATCTTCCATTCTTTGCAGCTTCCTATGGTCCAGGAAGTTCCCCAAAGGCTTCGAAAAGAGTACAAGTTCTTGCTTATTAGAAATCTTTTCTGTGCACCTGGGAAATGTAGACAGTGAAACCACTTCTGCTTCTTAGAATCACGGCTGCTTTGGGCATCGATGGAGTATGAGCCACTAAGAGTTCCTAAAATCATTTGACCTGACTAGTGTTACCTTGGCTTTATATACTATGCAGGAGAGTGTCTGGAGAGTATAGTATTGTATTCCTGGCCCAAATTAAGGCTGGCATGGATGTATTTAACCGTGTTTACACATACACCAAAGGAAGAACTTTTTTTTTTTTTGAAGGTTTTTTGTCAGGTAGGAGGGAAAATACATGTAACTAATTTTGAGGTAGGTAACAGACAGAAGTGAGAAAAAAAATAGAAGACCCCCTAGGATCTAACCTCTGTCCACCTTTTTAGGCTTATGTCTTAATACGCCTCATGTAGCACAACAAGCTAGGGACTTAGAGTCCATAAATATACCACTGGTGCTTTTGCATACTGCTCTTCATTCAGTGTAAGCACTGCTTCTCGGGAAGGAAATTCTTACCTCTACGGTGTCACCCGTATTTTCTCCTAGAATCCTGGCATTATCTGTTATAAATGCTATCACATTGCACTTTTGTATAAATAATCTCTCCCATCCACTGCATTAGGAACTATCAGAAGGCAGAAATTGTGTACTGGTTTTTCTGTCTTCAGTGATAATGTACTGTATGCACTCCATAAATGCTTCTTGAAAGAATGGGGATACGTTCTCTTTACAAGTGCTAGGTTTTTCCCAGAAAACTAGGCAGAGACCTGTTCGTTTCTCACTTTGTATACCTGGAGAAGTCACTTCATTCTGACCTCTGTCCTAAGATAAAACTAATGTGCATATTCACGATAAAGGAATCTGTTACAAATTATGTATTGCTATTATCCCCAGTGTGAAAGGGCTAATTTTTTAATTTGAACACGGAGAGTGCCTGGCACAGTGGACATTAACAGGACACTGGACTTGAATCCAAATTTTTTTAAGTCACAGAGGGAATTCAGTTGACTAAGGGTCCTTTTAATTGGCCATCCTGACATGGGCATAACTGAGGCCAATCAGGAACTTAGCATCAGCACAGAACAGTTTCCACGAGAGATGGAATCAAGATTCTAGAGCCAGGAAGTAGGTTAGGGAGAGTATTCAAGCCTCGCAACACATGGACTTAAGTGCCCACCATCCCATCCCGCTCTGTAGTAAGACCACGTGACAGAAGCAGCCACCTGATGCAAAATTGATCCTTAATCCTCTTCTGTATCCGACCACCCCACCAAGACCACAATGGGAATATCTGAATACTAAGTGGACCTAAAACTACCGACATGGCCCTTTGGGCTAGAGAACAGGATTGTGGTAACTCTTTGAAAAAAATACATTAAGGAAAGTGCTAATTGCTTTTCTTTACAGAATCCTCTATGTCCCTAACCTCCCAAAGAGTCACAATGTCTGGGGTCAGAAATGAGCTGCCTCCCACTCTGTTAAGCATATACACACAACACCAAGTTTTATATGCTACCACACATTTTTCAAAGAAATTATTTCTTCCTCCACTTTCCACCTACCTCCTCCGAAATGTCAAAATTTCAGAAATGTCTTAGAACTGATTATCTAGAATATTCTTCTCTTTATTCATACCACTCATATTGGATTTGGATTTGTGTTAGCACATAAAAAGATCAGTTGACATAGCTTTTTGGAAAGTCTAGCTTGCAGCAGAGTTGGACAACAGATGGCCACTCAGAAACCAGCCTCAGAAAGGTGACATGCTCCGCATGTATATGCTGATAAGAGTCCTATTTTTAGGACACCCAGAAAATTCTTGACCTAGTGCAAAGCCCAGGAGAAAGACAGTTCAGAGTACACACAATGACCATAGCCTGATTCCTGGTCTAAAGCAAAATAGACAACTTTTTACCAGTTACTTAGGCCAAAATTGTAAAATAAATATATAGACAGCCTACAGCAGCTTTTATCTTTTGTAAAAAAAGCAGGCAATGCATCACAAGCTTTTCTTACACGTTTCCTAGAATTCTTTTCAAGTACTTTAAAGCGGTCTTTAAAAAAGATAGCTTTCAATTCCATACTTTGTTTCTGCAGAAAGAGCTAGTGGCAGACTCATTTTCAAATAATTCTAAATAATTTTCTTTTCTTAAAAAGAGAAAAGGAATTAATAGCTAAGGATAATATCTAATTAGTACTACCTATGATGGGCAATTTTTAGCTAAGATATTTAAGTTCCCCCTAGCTTTGAAATTCTAACAGAATTTCAGTTAAACCTTAAAAAAAAAAGGAACCTATGACCTTTTACTAACTGCTCTACTGCAAAATTTATGTCATATTCCAAATGTTTCTCTTGCTTTAACGAAGGTTATTGAAGGTCTTTATTATCAAAACTCAAAGACACTTATGCCAAGGTATACAGACAAGCAGATTTGAAAACTGTTTATCATCGCCTACTGAGTTACACAGCAGATTCCAGTTCAAGATGACACACAAAAAGTAAACTAGATTTAAAGTGCTGTATTTAAAAACAAAAAAATTCAGTTTGCATTTTGGGGCAATTAAAACTGGAGACCTGACACTAAAAAGAAAGACACATACAGGATTATCATTCTGAATTGTTCTATTTTGCTCTTTTCACTCTAAGAATGTAGTCTTATTCAGAGAATGACAGCTGGTCAATTTATTCGTAAGATATTTATCCATACTTATCTAGAGTTTTCAGAGGCTACTGGACCAGTCATCTATTCTAAACTTTATGTTACATATGGACATTTTCTCAATAGTACTCTTAAGTCACATCTCATTTACCTTAAGAACCACACAGGCTTGTTTTAAATAGTTGAAATGCCTGTAGTACACTATATAGTTTGCTTAGATGTACTATGTTAATGGTCTGGTGTGGCCACAGGAAAAGCAAGCATTATTAAATATGAATGCAATCCTTACCAACACAAATTGAACCTTTTTTTTTTCCCAGTAAAAAAGCTAGCCCAGAAAAATGTCTCATTCTATAAAGATTAATCATTTCCAAATCACAGTGAAAGGAAGTGGAGTAATTTACCAATTTTGTTTTCTATTCTATGTCTTAAGAGATACCTCACTAAAAACTGGTATCCGACATAACAGAATAACATTTGCAGAATGTAACATTGTAGTGAGAGTACGGAGGTTGATTGTTACAGACATATTAAACTCTGCGTATTAAATGGTTACATCCTATTTACATAGAACATTGGTCCAATAACAAAAATAGATAACAGCAGCTGGAAATTTATCTCATTCAATGTTCAGAGATAAAAGGGTTAACCATTCTTTCCATTATTTTCTATAGATAAGTCCTTTTTTCATACTGTAATCCAATGGCAATTAAATTCTGATATTTTTCCGAGCTACTGTATGAAGAGAATGCTGAAAGCCATCACTATACAGCACACTGCAACGTAAGGACTCTTCCGTTCACCTGTTGGAAAAAAGGGAGATATTCATGTTGATTCACTGAGTGGTTAACATGGATATGATAAGGTTATTACTTATTATGGGAGAGGGATATAGAAGAATCAAGATAAAGTTCTTGCCTAGAAGGCCCACACATTTGGGGGGATGGCCAAAACAAGAACTAGATATAACATAAAAGCAGTACAACACAGAATGAGCTAAATTACACGGATTTCTTTCTTTTTTTTTTTTTTTTTAATTTTTTTTTTTCAACGTTTATTTATTTTTGGGACAGAGAGAGACACAGCATGAACGGGGGAGGGGCAGAGAGAGAGGGAGACACAGAATCGGAAACAGGCTCCAGGCTCTGAGCCATCAGCCCAGAGCCTGACGCGGGGCTCGAACTCACAGACCGCGAGATCGTGACCTGGCTGAAGTCGGACGCTTAACCGACTGCGCCACCCAGGCGCCCCATACAAGGATTTATTTCTAAGACCACCTCCTTTTCATGTGTTTAGAAAACCCTTAATGCATCATTCCTATGCCACTGCATAAACCCAGATATTGACAAAATACAACACAGAATGTAGGACAGAGATTCAAGAGAAACTATCTCAAACAACTCAATTTAGGCCAAAAAAATAGCTTATTTTTTCCTTTAAAAAAGGAAATTTCTACCTATGAAAAGAAATTTGACATACAATTTTCAGCTATGTATTTTTTTCTTGATTGGTCGCAATTTAAACACGAGAGTGATCAATAAAACTTCATGTAAAAAGCAGACATAAAATACAAACCAAGACAGACTTATCGACAGAGAACTGATGGTTGAGGGGGAGTGAGCAGGGAATGGGTGAAATAGGTGATGGGGATTAAGGAGGGCACCTGTGATGAGCATTGGGTGGCATATGGAAGTGCTGAATCATCATACTGTTATACCTGAAACTACTATTACACTGTATGTCAACTGGAATTTAAATAAAAACCTTAGAAAGAAAGGGTATAAAATGCTTCATAAAGAAACATTTTAGAAAAAACTATTTCTGACCTGGATTTCATATGAAATGATTTATAGTGTAGCTCTTGGGTTAGGAATGTAGAACTTAAAACAACCACTTTTATAGGAGTCCATTCTCACATGTGTTTAAAAAGTGTTTGTATTTGGAGAACTTCCCTCCCATGAAGCAGAATGGAGGTGGCTTGTGAAACTGTCTTGCAAACAGATTAGAGATTCTGTGATTGAGTTATCCCAACGTCAGCTTCTTTTCCTGTTTGTTCATTAATTGAATGGCTGTACAGTTCCACAAAGCACCAGACATTTCTGCTGCTCTGAGGGTATGAAAGAAAGGAAGAAGGAAGAGGGAGTGACATGCTATTTCTAGATATAATCATGGCATATACCTGGTGTCCTGTAGTAGAGATTGTGTATGCTCCCCTCACTTGTGCTTTTCTATGGTGTTTAAAATCAGCTCCCTCCCAGTAACTAAGTTCCTTCGGTGACAAACCATTTCATTTGGTAAGTTAACTACCTCTGGCAAATGCCAATCTTGACCATTCTCATCAACTAAAATCCTCAAGGTCATTTTCATTTTCAGAGCTTCCTCAAAGAGCTCACAGTCATATTGTTACTAACTTTATATCTTTGTGTCTGCTCAATGACAGTGTTCATAGAAGATATTACACACATACAAATAAAAGAAACATTTGGTGTTTTTCTATCCAGAGACATTTAGGGGACTGCTTTCGAGCTAAAGGAAATTCTAAAAAGTGAGACAACAGCATTTTCACAATGCCACTATCTCAATTGGAAAAAAAAAATCTTTTAAAACTAAAAAATAACTTGGGACATCATTTTTAAACAATGTTAATTCTTTTGAGGCAACACCCAAATTATCAAACAAAACCAAACTATTCAGATGTAGTTTTCAAGTGGATTTCATAAGCAAGCCAGTCACTCTAGTTAGGGCTAGATAATCTCATTGTCTAATATAGTCTTATTAAACACCTAAGAGAAGAAATTAAATTGCCCTGAATTTTCCATCTGCTGGAGATTAATTTTTGAGGAAGTTCTTCTCTTCCTCATCTTCCAACTCAGAATGCTATAATTTACATATGGGTTTCATTTTCCTGTTTTTAATTTTCTTAAAAGAGATTGCCATGTGGTAGAGCTAAACATCTTTGGTTGAACTTGTGTAAGAATGTTACTTCTCGTCTGGTCTTAGGTCTGTCTAAGTGAATGTGAAACAGTTGCTGTAACGTGATGTGTAACATGATAAGATGATTTGGCTGGGCCTTTTCCCATTAAAACTGTATCCCTTCTTGGTGGATATATTCTGTGTCAAGATAAGAGAGGAGTATATCAGCATTAACATTTTCTGAGCCATTTTGCCAAAATGAAAAGCTAATACTTACACATAAGTGGCAAGAATGCATAGTTTAACTGAACCATTTAACCTATGGCATTCATACTGTTAAGAGAAACAATGAAGACAATAACTGACCAAGCAAAAAGAAAAGGCAGTTTATAATCAGACAATAACAATGGATGATACTGAAGGCAATCATTACGAAAGCTACAAACTAAACGCCTTAAATTTTCAGTTATACTTCGAAGTAACCATTGTGCAAAGTGTCACCTGGGTCGGCTACTGAATGAAGCTGTACAGACTTCTCTAATTTATTATATAAAATGGATTTAAAATGCCTTGATACTTAATACCTTAAAGAACTTTTATTTGTGACTTAGCAACTTCATCATATTGAGGTGAAAGCTCTGCCCCCTCACTGCAGACTTTTTATTTTTACCAATGAACTTCCAGTATTACTTTGACACAGAGACTATGACTCTATTAGGACAGTTTTGTTCTTCCATTATGTTCTCTGTTCGCAGTTTCCTTGAGGGTTTCTTTCCACTCTGTCCTTGACAATATTGTTTCTTTTTCTGGGTAACTTGGCTTTGAAACTACATTAATTTGCATATATTTACATTTGCTACTCTCTATCAATCAGCATTAGCCATCAAGGGTGTTCTTCTCTTTATCTCTTCCTTTGTTATTTTTCAAGTGATTAAGATTTCTACTGTTATTTCAGGCTTTGTGCTGTTGAGTCGCACTCGATGTCAGGTAAGGCTGCACCACAAATCTCTGCAAATCTAGGTTGGGCCCTCTCAACTCTGGTACTACTGACATTTTGGGCTAATTCTCTGCGAGGGGCTGCTCAGTGCATCGTAGGATATGTAGCAATATCAATGACCTATACTCAGTATACGTTCCTCCCCCATCTAGTTATGACAATCAAAAATGTCTTGGGGGGGGTGGGTTTAAATGTCCTGATAACTACTTAGCTAGGCTTTATCTGTGCTTTACCTCTCTGAAGTCAATTTTCTTCCTATAAAAGAAGAATTCTCATGTCTGTCACTCTAAGAGATAATAAAGTATGACAAAGAACACTGAGGAAGGACAGTTTAACATGTTAAAAGCACAGTGAATTCTCAAAAGGACGCCTGCTTCAGTAGTCAATACATTAGAATGAGGGCCTTGAAGGAAGTAGTTTTAGGTGCCTCTATACACTACTGTCATTTTCTGGCAAGAAATCTGGCTAAGGAATCTTATAATCTCATCATAGCAGATTTTAAAAGGATTTCTATATAATTTAGTAGGATGCTTACAAGTTCTCCTGTTAATGGTTCTTGCCTATCACTAAAAGCTCAAGGGAAGAAAACTTGCTCTCTCATAATTATTTATTTCAGTGGCTAACAACATATGAATCTTAGAAGATGCTAAAGAATTAGAAACTGTCACAATTAATTTTTAGTCCTTAGTTGAGACTAGGTTATACCGATAATATCTTCAGATATATTACACCCATTCTCAGGTATTCTTTAGAAAAATGTCTAGATATTATAAGAACTTAGTTTGTAGTTTTCAATCTTTAATCAATTTTGTTTCCTGTTATGAACCATCTTTTAAATTTTCCACATTTCTGAGAAGTGAATCCAAAATAAAACCTAATACTCTAAATAGAACACACATTATCTAAGGGACATGACTCCTAATTTTTCTCAATTCAAAGTGACTCGTTGGGGTAATTCAGGCTGTTGTCAGGTTGGCTAACTAGAGTAAATGTCAAATGTAGGAAAATTTGTCTTTGAAGTCTCATAACTTTATAAAAGAAAAAAGTAGTTATATACAAATTAAATATTGGGAAAATATTAAAATCAACCTTTTTTTTTTGAGGGGGTCATGTAAATAATTCCAAGGTGGAGAAGAAATATTCATTTTCAGTCCAAGTGGAACAAGTACAAATGCTCTGAAGTGTTTTGGAACCAGCGATGTTAAAAAGGGTATACTCTATTATTCAGGAATACTGGTAAACTGTATCAGTAAAATATATTTTAATTCATTCACTTGCCAATCACTTGAGAGTCTACTATAGGCTAGGCACTGTGCTAAATGTCATATACACACAGGGATGAGACAAGGGTATATTACTATCTAAACATAAACACAAAAACACCACAAATTTTATTATGAAAAGTTAGAAGATAATCACATTTAACTTTAATCAGAACAAAACTCAGCTATGATCACATGAATTTGACAGGTGAAACAGTTATTGCTTTCTTTTTTTTTTTTATTTTTTATTTTTTTTTTCAACGTTTATTTATTTTTGGGACAGAGAGAGACAGAGCATGAACGGGGGAGGGGCAGAGAGAGAGGGAGACACAGAATCGGAAACAGGCTCCAGGCTCTGAGCCATCAGCCCAGAGCCCGACGCGGGGCTCGAACTCACGGACCGCGAGATCGTGACCTGGCTGAAGTCGGACGCTTAACCGACTGCGCCACCCAGGCGCCCCCCAGTTATTGCTTTCTAAAAACAACATTCTAGGACTTAGCATAAGGCAGTAAAATGATTATGTTTAGACAGTTGGTTAGCAAGCCTTTCATTAGATGGGAAATTCATCCTTAGTGACCAAAACAGTACAAATTATACAGAGCAGCATATTGTATACTATATGCATGTGTGCATAAAACTATAAATGTTTGTCTGAAATCTCAACACCAGCAAAGCATAGTATTTGATATCTGAATTAAGATTTTTTCTTGTATTTTCCATTTCCCTGTGTATGAAGTATTATGAGGTATCCACCATGTCTAGTTTTAGCACAAGAAAAAGTTTGGTAGAACTCTATAAACTTACAGCTGATGATGTGGAAGTTATAGAAGGACACTTACCAATTCTGGCGCACTTCCAAAATATACCCAACAATCTGCATAGAGTAAAAAAAGGAAAAAGTAGCTATTGTTTAGTGGGAAAAGTAAATCATTCTCTCAGTATCATATAGAGAATTCATTATACACTGGCATTTTCTCTTTTGATACTTTGCTTCAAAAACTGAAATTTATTTGATATTGAGCCACCATCTTTGTAGGAAAGGAGGCCACATGAACTTATCAACTGTTAGTGTACATAAATTGTCATAAACTGGGATATATGCAGTATCCTAGGTTAAACACACAGTAAATTAATATGACTGGCAAAAATTTGCACAGGGTTTTTTTGTAGAATTAATTCAGTCAACTTCAGTTGCTTTACTTTTAAAAGTAGAAAATACATATGCCAATTTGCATAAACATTAATTTGAAAAAATGGTAAACGAACATTTGGTTGGTTTGGTAGGATTTTGACATTTAAAAATAAAACTTTCACACTAAAGAAATTACTTTTTACAGAATGTAGTTCTATATTTAAATACCTTATAGCCATGAACTCCAATGATAGCATTTGCATAGCTGTGTCATTCAGTAAGAGAGAATATAAAAATATGTAGCTATGTTTTCAATATTAGTACAAAATCCTAGTTTGGGAACACTATATGAGTTAAATATGGCAATTAAAATACATTCTGGAAATAAGAATTACAATGAAAATGTTCATTTCAATTCTATGAATGAATAAACTGTGAGTTGAATACAAATTATGTGTATTTCACTTCTTTGGCATGTATAAAAAGTACTGCCTTTAAAAGAAAAGCAACCGAATCATTCAATGAATAGAGGTAGCTAAAAGATATAAAACATTGTAGGCAACTATTTTGTTGTTTTTTTTTTTTTTAATTTTTTTTTTCAACGTTTATTTATTTTTGGGACAGAGAGAGACAGAGCATGAACGGGGGAGAGGCAGAGAGAGAGGGAGACACAGAATCGGAAACAGGCTCCAGGCTCCGAGCCATCAGCCCAGAGCCCGACGCGGGGCTCGAACTCACGGACCGCGAGATCGTGACCTGGCTGAAGTCGGACGCTTAACCGACTGCGCCACCCAGGCGCCCCTATTTTGTTGTTTTGACGAAAGAACAGAATTACAAATGGTATTACACATTGCTAAAAGTCAAGACAGATCAGCAGTACTTATTGCAGTGGGTTAGGACTGGTGTAACAATATCAAAATACTTAAATTTCAGGTAAATTGATATACTTTTTGCCAAAAGAGATGGCTGGCTGATGAATTATTGTATCTGAGTGGTTCAGACTGAAAGAAAATACTGCTTCAAGTAAGTTCTATATGCATTCCTCCTCTGAAGTGTAACTTCCTGACCTCAAAGCAAAATGTCTCTTAGTTCAGATTATACGAAATGGGCAAACATAGATGTTTATTTTGAAGGATGGATATTCTGACAGGTGAAGCAACTCTCCTATAGAAATAAAAGGACAAAAATCAAACATATTCTTGGAAATAATGTAGGATAATATAAGGGTCAGATTGTGCTTAAGTTTAATTCTACTTAATTGTTGCATTAACTCTGAACAAGTTATTTTCTCTTTAATAACACTCACCCTCATAGGGTTGTTATAAGGATTAAAGGAATTATTACACAGAAACTCTTCAGAGTAGTGACTAACATGTTCTGTGTTCAGTAAAAGACAGGTTAAAGGCACATGTGACAGTAACTTCAGATATCACTTAAAATTGGCTTACATTTCACCAAAAAATGGAAGGCAACTGGTTAGTGACATGCAATGCCATGGTTCTTTGACTGTAAAAATCTACTGAGTGGAACATGCACTGTGGATTTAAAGCTACTCTGGCTGAAGGATTCAGAGGCAGGATACCTGAAGCTCCTGCATGAGAAGCTTATAGTCCCAAAGAACATAATCTAAAATCATATGATCACAATCAGGGTGATTTCAGGTTTGCTAACCTAGAAATAACTCAAAGCATCATTAGGAAATTGTGATAACACGGTATATTAAAAGCTAGATACATGAAAAGTTTCCTAACTCGGGCAACTTAGAGATTTATCAGTATCACTTTGGCCTTTCCCATGTATTTCCCTACCTAGACATATTTCTGTAATATGCTATTTATTAATTAATAAATAAATGCTATTTATTTAACACAGAAACTTTATTAGTTAGTAAAAACCAATACAATTATGCTGCTTGGTTTCTATGGCTGTAAGCCAGTAAATATATCTGCTGATAGAACTAATCAGGTCTATGATAATAGGCAATGAGAAAAGTAGCAATCTTTTATTGCTGCTTTTTAGTTCTGTATTATTTGAAGCAGTAAAAAATTAAGTTGTTATTTTCAACAGTGAAGTCATCAAGAACCTGCTTTATCCAACTGGTCTCTATACATCGTTACTTAAACATGGAATACTCGCTGTAATGAAAGGGCAGTTTATTATGAATCTCATAAAAACGCATATTGTAACAAAAGGACAATGGCCTGTAAAAATTTCTCCTGGAGAAAATATTTCTTATATACAAGTCAAAATAAAATGGGGCCTAACATTTACAGAAACAGAAACAAAGTTTTTAAAAAAAAGCCTTTTAAGAGCTGAATGGACCAGTATATGCTTTACAGTACAAATAGAAGCATGCCATTTCTTTGGTCTTCTATGTAGGAGAAATATACTACTACTCAGCCTCTACTGTAAGGCTGGCAGCCCTGAGAACTCCTTTTTCAATGTAGCATGTAATGGATGTCTTCCTGCTCCCAAAGGAATGAGAAGCAGACATTTCCACATGCCATCTACTTTCTCCATAACTGTATTGGAAAGCTAAGTATTGTGACTATTTTTTAATGAAATACTATGATTATTATTTTATTTCTAGAGAGAGAGTGTGCACATTAACAGGGGAAAGAAAGGAAAAGGGAGAATCTTAAGCAGGCTCCACAGGAGCCCGACATAAGGCAGGATCCCAAGATCCTAGGAACATGATGTGAGCCGAAATTAAGAGTTGGATTTTCAACCAACTGAGCCACGCAGGTGCCCTGTGATTATTTTTTAATGAAATAAATAAATATGTTATTAGGTAGGTGTTATGTATTATATTCCAATACCAAGGAACAGATCAATGAGAATGTTTATTGGTTTCTAACATATGCTTTAAGTTAATCGTCAGGGGAGGAAAGGCTTCATGCACAACTAAGCAACACATAAGATTATACAACTTCAACAAACTGACATAGTACTATATAATTTCAACAAATGGACAAAGAATTAAAATGAATAAAGACTTAGTGCAAGAGGACTTCAGAGGAAAAAAAGGTGGAGCGAAGAGAAATCAATGTCTATGAAGGAAGAGGGGGATTGTCATAAAGACTGATGGACAAATAACCTCAGTATTGCTATTTTACCTAGCAATAGATTATCAGTTTATTGGAATAGGATCACGAGATTTTCAATATTCACAACTGATTAGAGCTTCTACTTATTCCTTTACACATGTCTGAACAACCCTAATAAATAAAAAGGAAGAAATGTTAACAAAAACCAAATAATTTAGATAATGGAATGTTTGGATAAATGCTAATTATGACCTCAAAGATAAAATGGAAGTAAAGGAAAGAGAAGCAGAAATGATTACTTTCACAGTTGAGTATCTACCACCTTGCCTCTTGTAGATTTTTATTAGTGGAAAAGCAAAATTTGACTTTGCAGGATCCTAATCTGGCCTGATACAGGTTTGGAGACAATTATTCCAATGTGAAGTATTCTTTCAGCTTTTATTTCTTAAAAGGATTAAACAAATATAGGCTTTTATCAAGAAAGGAGTTTGAGTCCCATGTTGGGCTCTGTGCTGGCAGCACGGAACCTACTTGGGATTCGTTCCCTCTCTCCCCTCTCTCCCGTTTCTCTGCCTCTCCCCTGCTCACATGCTCATGTGCTCTCCCTCTCTCTCAAAATAAAGTTAAAAAAAAAAAACGATTAAGAAAAGTATTCACATAAATTAATACATATGCAAGGCAAATAAAATGTATACAGCTCCCACCACATGGTCTCTGTTTTTTAATATACTCTTCCTTTTGGTTTAATTCAACATGTATTTCTGTATTATGTTTTTTTCTTTTTTTAAAGCTTACTTATTTTGAGAGGGAGAAAGAGAGTGTATGCACCCGTGTGCATGTATGGGGGACAAGCAGAGACAGAGGGACAGAGAAAATCCCAAACAGGCTCCGTGCTGTGAGCATGAGCCCAAACTAGACTCCGTCTCAGGAACTGTGAGATCATGACCTGAGCCAAAATCGAGTTGGACGCTTAACTGACTGAGCCATCCAGTTGCCCCATATTTCTGTATTGTGAATAAGGCACTTAAAAATTTTAATTCTGTGTATCATATTAAGCTCAGATTTTTTTCAGGGTATGAACATATAATAAAACAGATGTGACATGCCCAAGACTTAATTTTTATTACTGTGTTAAGTTAGCTACATAAATTTCTCTAAAGATGTCTGCTTTATGATACTGACAGGGAGCTCATATGATTAGAGCAGTCTTACACTGGAGAGGGAATGTCTACATTATTATTTTTATGGACACAGTGCTGGCAAACTGTTAAATGCTTCAAAAACATAACTTTGTTTTTAATACCAACTTTACCAATTATTCTATAAAAAGTAAGGTGAAATACTGTCTTTGAAAGTACTAAACTGTATTTCTAATCCCAGAAAAAAACACAACTCCATCTTTTTTTAAATACACTTTTTTTTTAGTTGAACACATTTCAGGTTACTTCTGGTATTTATCTTTTTATTTAGTAAGATTCTATGAATAGAAAGTTTTCCGTTTTTAAAAAATATATTTTGTTAAAGTTTATTTATTCATTTATTTTGAGAGAGAGAGAGGGGAAAACTTGAGCAGGGGAGAGGCAGAGAGAAAGGGAAAGGGAATCTCAAGTAGGTCCTGTACTGTCAGTGTGGGGCCTGGCATGAGGCTCGAACCTATGAGCCATGGGATCATGACCTGAGCTGGAACCAAGAGTTGGACACTTAACCCACTGGGCCACGCAGCCATCCCCAAAGTTTTCAGATTTTGAAAAACAGAGGAGAAAATAATGTAAAAAGTTATTATAAAAATAATTTATATATAGGCATTAAATTATTTAATGACTTTTATGGTAATTTACCCTCAATGTCTATAAGAACTAATATGGGTGATTAGATATCATTAGTAACATACCCAGTTTTATTTCTGTCCAGGAGGCTGGGTGCCAAAGATCGGATATAAGCACAGGTACATATAAGCAGCAAGATTACAGTCAACAGACTCTGAAAATTGAAAATGGCAGACTAAAAAAGAGAAAAAGAAAAATTAATATCACAAGAAAAACTGCATAGGTAAAAACTGCCAGACAATTCCATATTAAGAATCATAGTTTTGTTCTTCAAAAAAGGCAAACAGAATGACATGTCTGAGAATACTTAAAACCCCAAATCATAAGGTATTCAGAGAGTGTACTTTCCTCTCCATTCTTTGGGCTAAGGAATGCAGAAGATGCAACAAAAAATTCTAAATTCAAGAATTTGAAAACATTACCAAAAATGTCATGAATCCAAGGAACTCACCAAAACTCAATCTTTATGTAATTAATACAGATGTTCTAGGAACCCAGACTATGAGGCAGGACAGAGAGTCTCCATGCTCTGCCTGTAGCTGGCCATAGGACTTCAGTTGAATCACTGACCTAAGGCTGTCTTTCACATCTGTAAACCTTGGTGGACAGCCGGGATATAGACTAAATGTTGGCTCAAGTTTCTTTCAATTCTTAAATTCTTTTAGAGTAAGAATGCTTTAAATTTAAGCAATCATGTTCCATGCATTGACTAATACTAGGCTATTAGGTTTTGGTGAAAGAAAACCACTTGCTCTTTCACTGTTGGTTCTTTAAAAGTTATTGAAATAATTTAACACAGGAATGATTGGAAATCACAGTTTTTCAGTCAAAGTAAAATGGAGGCGGGCTTAGTCTACTCAAAATTCAGCTCAAACATCATCTTTTCCGGGAAGTTTCTTTGGACCTATCTGCCTCCCCTCTCCTATTTCATAAAAAACTCTCCTTTCTGTTCCCACACAAACTGTTACACATTTTATAATACTCATCCCTGAAAGTGGACATTGCCTTATCAGACTCTGAACTCCAGCACCTGACAAGGCACCTACCACAGAGCAGACCAAGAAGTAATGGCTGAATAAATAAAACAAATTTTTGAAGGTGCAAGAATACCACTATATAAATAATAAAGAAAAATTGTTTCCATTTTACACAGGTAGATAAAATACATCAATCTTACACAGCAGCTAGCAACACGCTTAATTACTAAACCCAGAGGCACCTCCCATAGTGTCAGAAGTTAAAGAATAGGAGTTATAAAAATTTTTTGAGAAAGGCAAAATTGTTACTTGTAAATGTTAAGTGCTACCTGAAAAGCCCAAAAGAATTTAGTGAAAAACAATTACAGACAATAAGGGAATTGGGTGTGGCTGGGTACACAACTTAAATATTTAAATCAGTAGCTTCATGACTGTATTACCAACTGGTTGAAAGACATAATGGAAAAAAAAGTCTCTATTTGTAACAGCAACTAGAATAAAAAGCTGAAATATCCAGGAATAAGCCTAACAAAAAATGCAGTACTGGCATTAAAGAACAAAACTGACAAAACCTTTAAACATACGGAAAAACATAAAATTAGAATGGAGTGGTATGTGAGGTTCTTACACTGGAAGGTAACATCATAAAGCTAATCTGTAAGTTTACAGTGTCCTCAACACCAACCAGTTATTTTCAAAATAGACAACTGACTTTGAAGTTCATATGGAAAAATAAAGCAATAGCCAGAAGAATCCTAAAAGAACTAGGCATGTCAGAAGCCATCAATATTTTTTAACCTCTTATATGTTTTTATGGCAAATATGTACAAGCTATTTAAAACATTAAGATAATTACGTTATTTGCCAATATGAAGGACAAAAAATGCTTATGTACAATGACAAACAGTGGGGAAAACAGCACACAAAATTCCATAATCAGTGTGTCTTTAGCTATGTAAACCTTATACAAGCAAGAGGGGCGAATGCAGTGATGATCTCTGGAAGGTTTTTAACCCAATTCGCAACTTTTCTGGATTTCTGTAATTTCCTAAGTGTTATATTTGTAGTCTGAAAAAGATAAAAAATGACTTGCATTATTAATAGTTGTTTTGCTTGCAAATCATTTCTTAATGGATACACAAAGGTAAAGTTTAATATGGCTTGGTTTTTTCTGAACTGGATTTTAATTTTACATCTGTGAAAACAAGAGATACAAATTTTATAACTTAAATCCATAAATGAACTCTAAAGACAAATTTTATATAGAAAACACAGTATTTCACAATGCTTGTCTTTTAAAGACCGTATTTTGAACATGTATTATGAATTTATTGATATAGTATTTGATAACAACCTCATGAAATATAAAGCACAGACTTCTTTCCAGCCAAAGTAACTAAACATGTATTTAGTATCTATGGTGTCTGAGGCATGAGGCTAGACACAGGATTAAAAGACACAGCAGGATTCCTTCCCTTCAGGAGTTTACAGCTAATGATAACTGATATTCACTGAGAGCTTCTTTTGGATTATCTTGTTTATCCTGGTATATTTGAGGTAGGTGTTACTAATACCTTTATTTTATACATGAGACAACTGAGGCATGCAGCATGTACAATCAAGTTAGAACAGGTCATGTATTTTTAACAAGTAAACAGCAACTCCTTGTAGCGTATGTAAGTGGTTAGTTACTAAGCCATGTGGACAAAAAAAAAAATGCTGTTTTCATAAAGAAAAGTCAGGAAAAGCTTCAAGAAGAAAGCAAGGACTGAAGTCAAATCATGAAAGGGCACATTTGGATTGGCAAATAGAGAGCAGGCTCCAGACGAGACGAGAGCATGGAAAACATCCCCATAGAATCGAGAACTTGCATGTTCAGGGAATAATGAGCAGACTTACTGTATTAAGCAAAGGACCTATGCAGTAAACTCGCTGGGAAATCAGTTTGCCACATAGGTTTATCGCATTCCTAATGGAGTATCTAAATCTCCCAATTTTACAATGTGTACTTTTTCCTTCCCTAAATGTCTAGTTAAAAAAAATGCTTAAATGATAGGATGTCTGGGACTGGTTTCTAAATAACCCATTTTGTGTGATGGGAGGAGTGTGGTTGATGATGAAATGCTGAGTATATGAGGCTTCATTATACTCTTCTTCCTACCTTTGTATGTTTGAATTTTTATATAGTAAAAGAATTTAAGGGGCACTTAGAGACATGCCTGTTATTAAAGAAATGGAATGTGTATGTATACATGTGTGTGACACAATTTATAAATGAAAACCAGTTACAAGTGTGCAATATAAGATACAGACAACTTTGTTTCTAGGGTTTATAGACCCTAAGATTTAAACAAATAATCTTAGGTGGTATATAGTCTTTTACATGTACTCAGACTGACCAAAAAAGAATGTTTCAAACATCCAGACATTAGCCTACCACTGCTTACTGTACCTAAGCATTCCTTTTAAAGCTTAGCATCTGTTGTCTGCCGACACAAAATTTTAGTCTAAGGTTTAAAGGAAACAGATGTTCCTGTTCTTGTAGCAAAATAATTAGGATTTGTTTAAAATGTTATTAAAATGTATAAAGTTATAAAAATGTTATTAAAAAGGAAGAAGCTAAGATTACAAAATAGAAAAGATTTTAAAAAAGGTGATAAGGGAAATAAAGTTAATTTACTGTTTTGTTCAGATCATGACATCTTTTTCAAGGTGCTCTGTGTTTTTGCAGACTGTTTTTGCCTGCATGGTGAACTGACTCAAACTTCTGGTTTCAACTTGAGTCCCCTCTGTGAAGTCTTCCCTGTCCCCACTTGCTACACCAAGCAGAGGTTGAGATAATTGTGCAGGTGTATATATATATGATAGCACCCATCAAACTGTAATGGTCTCCTCTATTTTATTGAGGTCCTTATCAACCCCTTGTGCCTATTAAACAGAACAGTGCACAGAAGTCACTGAAAAATGCTGAATGAACAGCAACTTGAAAACTGCAAAATAACAATTTTAACAAATTCAAGAGCATATTTAAATGCCAAATCAACAGTGTATTCTATTAAAAAAAGCGTAGACTGTTGAATATTTTGTTAACTATTCCAGAGAAACTGCCACGCACTGCTCTGCATTTATATTTACTTATCAATGGTATTTTGGAAAATGCAAATGGAAGAAGCAATACCCTTACATTTATGTTACGGGCCCAGGGTATAGGGTAAAATCAAGGCCCAAGGTTAATTCCCTCTCAGTATCTAAACTTTGTTTGGTCACCAACTGGAATTCAAAGAAAGTCCTACCAAGAAGCCAGCTTCAAAGTACTTGCATATGGGACAATGAGTGTTCTTTTGACTCTCCCTGGATGACGGAGTACGCTAGCTGGCTGGCAGAAAATTCTAGAACCTCAGATAATTCTCAAGTCTAAGGCTTATTTACATAATTTTCAGTCAGACAACACCAGGGAGTTATGTGACTATGACTCGACTGCTTATTTTTTTTAACATTTTTAACATTTATTTTATTTTTGAGAGACAGAGCATGAGCAGGGGAGAGGCAGAAAGAGGAGACGCAGAATCCAAAGCAGGGTCTAGGCTCTGAGCTGTCAGCACAGATGCGGAGCTCAGTCTCACAAACTGTGAGATCATGATCTGAGCCAAGGTCAAGAATTGGGATGCTCAACCGACTGAGCCACCCTACTACTTACTTCTTAAAGGAAATCTTATGATTAAATTTCTCTCTGTCCCCATAATTCCAGATAATCTTCCCATTCGAGAATGTTTAGCTTAATCCCATATGCCAATTCTCTTTGGCTTAATAAGATATCATATTTACAGGGTTTGTTTTTTTGTTTTGTTTTGTGTTTTTGAAGTGGTGGAGGGCATTTTGTCTATCATACCTAACAAATATTTTTTATTAAGAGGCATCCAATAACATTCCCTCAACTCAGGGCTACCTATGACACTCTCTGAAGCATAACCTCAAATACAACCAGGACAGTAATACTTGGGGTTGTGGATCACAGCAGCCTTGCCTTTTGACCATTAGTCTGAGAGTTGTGTTTATTCTTCGAAATGATACGGTGGAGATCCTAAAATATTTTTCTCCGAAGGCGCCTTTTATTATCCCTCCACAGTAGTAGATAGTAGCCCTATCTACTACTCACAGCTGATCAGACCTTCTGATATGCTTCAAATAATTAGCGCTA